ACCAAGTTTAGCTTAGTCACTGAGTATCCAGGACAGCTGGAATGGTCTCCTGCCTGAAGGAAGGACTCAAGTACTATTGAATAGATAAGTAAATGAAAGCTAGCTACTTTTTAAAGTTTAAAATGAGTAGACGTGGCACCTGGCTGGCTCAAGTCAGTAGAGCGTGCAGCTCTTGATCTTGGGGTCAGGAGTTCAAACCCCACATTGGACAGAGAGATTACTAAAAAAAACCCCAAAAACCAAAAAGACATCCACACAAACAAAAAAAGAAAACAAAAAATAAAGTACCTTATGGGGCGCCTGGTTGACTCAGTCGGTAGAGCATGTGACTCTTGATCTCTGGGTTGTAAATTTAAGCCCCACGTTGGGTATAGAGATTACTTAGAAATAAAATCTTTAAAAAAAAATAAAAATAAAATGAGTAGATAATTGTATTTCTTAATCCTTAAGAACTCTCACATATTTTAAGTGTTAAAAAATACAGCAAAAGTTAGGTTTTTGACATCCTCTCAGATTTTATAAACATAAAGCCACATTTAAAGGGCACAGTTGGTTGAATACATTTAGCACCAGGAAGAGTCATGCTCACAGGAGCTCAGCCACAGAAATGGAGGCCTTTGTCAGTTGTGGTGAAGACAAATGAAAACCAACTTTGTGACTCTTAAGTCAGCCAACATCCTAATAGGAAATGAAGAGTTTATAGTTCACATTTTCAGGAAATGCCAAAATGCTTTTCACTGCATTTATAGATTTCAGTAGATGTATTTATAGATTCAGTATTCATGTCTGCATTGTAGATTGAGTCAGGTTACCCTCTCACTTAGAAGATAATAGGGAGGTCTTTACCAATATTAGCTTGTTGGTTGTCAATTAGCAGGACTCAGACTGGCCAGGACAGAAGAGAGTCACTGTTAAGACCCCTTATTTCACTGTTAAGGAGATTCAGCCCAGGGAAGTTAAATGACTTTTCCAAAGTCACCCAAATAGTAAATTGTTGCACAGAAACCCAGAATGTTTGGGACCCATTCCAGTGATCTTCCTCTTAAGCCAGACTGATTTTTGCTGTGTGTATATGTGTGCTTGTGTCCCTCACTTTGTACAGTAGTGTGGGACCATCAAAGTGACCATGCAAGCTGAAACGGTGCAAAGCGATCTTATTGTTCAATGGGGAAAAATTGTTATAAATATTATTTCTGTGATCTTTAAAATTTTTGCCAAAACATTAAAAACCCTCTGACCATTATAAGTGTATTGGAAATGAAAACAATACTAAAACTATATTTATTTTGTATTCTGTAACGAGAATTAAAGTGTTTTATTTGTAAAACCTTACCAAGAATAGTCTGAACAATGCTTACCTCTTATTTTCATTGTATAGCTTATGACAGAAAGAGCATCTTTTCAATTCTTCAGCCAGTTGTCATACTCCTTAACCAAATGAGCCACCCAGGTGCCCTGTCATACTCCTTTATAAATTTGGATCACCTTCCAACATTTTATCATTTGTACTTTCAATGTCAAGAAATACCTCCAAGAATCCCCAGCACAAAGTTATTTTGCCAGCATCACCTCCTCTAGGACATCTTTAACCTTTTCATCATAAACACTTTCCTTATGTTAAATTCTCCTTCAACAAGTTCCTCTGGCTGCAGATCTGTAATCTCTTGAACAACAGCAATGTCAACATTCCCCCTGTCAGCTGTTTTGGCTATAACTCCACTTACAGTCAGTTCCGATTTCACTCCCAGCATTATCACTTTTCATTTATTTGCTGCACTTTTGTCTTTGTTGGTCAATTCCCTCTTTTGATCATCTTTTTTTTTTTTTTTTGAAATGTCACATAGGTTTATTTTGGGAGACAAGAAGTGACCCAATCACATGCTTTTCTGTCCATATGTGAGCTAAGCAACAGACTCAGTGATCACTGACAGACTTTCAGAGAGCTTACATGCCTTGTCACTTACTGTGATATACATCTGTTATTTAGTGATTTGTGGCCTGAAGAGCTAGCAGTGAAGTTTATATTTTATGCATTTACAGTTGATTCACTGTTGTAACTAAAATTGGAACCATGTTTTTGGGGGACTGACATGTAACTAAACCATGGTGAGTGTAATTTGTGTATAAGGGAACCCTTCAAAGTGAGGTCTGGCTATGTCCAGGTACAATCTAGTAGAGAGTTTAGGAGGAACATAGACTTGAGGTTTTGATAGACTGGTTTAAATTCAGAATAACCACTGTCAACCTTTTAAAAGAAAAAGGTAAGCAATTTGGCCAGTAAAATCAAGTTTATTTGGGAATGGCCTAAGAATGGCAATTTGGGACAAGCACACTATGGCAAACCATAGGCAAGTACAGAGAACAATGGAGGAGAGCATCCTTTTATAGGGGAAAGAAGGAAGTTGGGAGGGGGTTTATTGAACAAAAGTCCATTGGAGGAAAATGAGAGTTCATTGGTTGCAGGCAAAGCGGTGGTGGCCTTTCATTGGTTGCTGAGCCGAGAGGAAATCTTCCTTCCTGCTGGATTTTGCAAGCTGTGTGAGCCCTCCCTTCATGGCTTCCTGACTAATTCTGAGTTAGGTTTCCTTAACACGTTTTCACATCTTAGACAAGTCCCTCAACTGTAAAACTAAGATAAAACTATCCCATGTCTCAGATTACTGTGAGAAGTAGTGATCACATCAAGATCTTATTTGACACAGCACTGCTGCCAGGCTTGGGAGCAGTAGTATTAGCAGCAGAAATAGAATCAAAATTTTCCGTCGACAATTCCAAAATTACTTTTAGATTCTTACTGTATTTAAACAGGGAGATAAAATACTTCATGGAAGCATATCTATTCACCTTCTTGCAGTCTGAAACCTCTTAAGACTACTTAAGGTGTCCAGTTTTGAGGGGGTGGGGAAGGAAGTTACAATATCTAGAAGAAGGTAGCAGGGAGAAGGTGGAACTGGGGTGTTAGGTGAGGAAAGGTATGGGGTTTTGTGCAATGATCTGTGTTTCTCTGAGTCACATGTACATGGTATCTTTATTATTTGGTTTACAAAAATTTCCAGAACATTAGCCAGTTTGTTAACAAGTACAAGAATAGGGGCACCTGGGTGGCTTAGTCGGTTGAGCATCCGACTCTTGATTTTAGCTCAGGTCATGATCTCAGGGTCCTGGGATCGAGGCCCTCATTGGGGTGGGGGGGGCTGCACTCAGTGGGGAGTCTGCTTGAGAATTTTCTCCCTCTCCCTCTGCCCCGCCTCCTGCTTGCACTCTCTAAAATAAATAAATCTTAAAAAACAAAAACAAGTGCAAGAATAAATACATTCCAGGGGCCCCTGGCTGGCTCAGTCAGTAGAGCATGGGACCCATAATCTCAGAGTCATGAGTTCTAGCCCCATGTTGGGTGTAAAGATTACTTTTTTTTTTTTTAAGATTTTATTTATTTGACCGAGAGAGACACAGCAAGAGAGGGGACACAAGCAGGGGCAGAGGGAGAAGGAGAACCAGACTCCCTGCTGAGCAAGGAGCCTGATGTGGGACTCGATCCCAGGACCCTGGGATCATGACCTGAGCCAAAGACAGATGCCTAACGACTGAGCCACCCAGGCACCCAGGATTACTTTAAAAAAAGAGAGAGAGAGAGAATAAATATATTCCAGTAACAAGTAACATATTATCTTTTTGATATCTGTAATTTTTTCTATATCACTGTTCTTTTCTAACAGTGTACATATGGAAGTATATATATAGGTTGGTGAGTCATAGGCATTAAGGATAACAAAGTAAATGGCTCATAGTCTTTCTTAATATTTTATTCCTAGTGCCTATAAAAGGTCATTGAGGAAGCATAAGAACTTTCTCTCTGATCAGAGGATTGTTCCTCAGATTCTGCTGGTAGTCAATGAAATTAACATTGATATTAGGCAGTTAAGACCTGTAAAAGCAAAGAGAGACAACTTCTTTCAGGAGGGCACCCAGATGACCTACAAGTGAAGTTGCTGCAATGAAGCCCCTATGTTTGGAGTGTGATGCTTACTCAGCACTCTGAGATGATCTCCAGTGCTTACAACCTTGACAAAATATAGACTTTGGTTAAGAAAGGCCTAAAAGTTCTCCCTACTACCTTTTTTTTGTAACTGAAACGTGGCCTCAAGTGTTTTTGGGTCCATGCATTTTCCCACTGACATAGGAAAAAATACACAAGAAAGGTCCTTCCTGGCACCAAGGAACAAAGGCCACTGAATTTGGGAAACGTAATTCTTGATCAGTGTTGCTTTTATTTTATTTTATTTATTTATTTTTTGATCAGTGATGCTTTTAGAGACAGATCTTGACCAAAAGGGAGAAATGTGAAAATTAATAAAGGAAACCTGAACTAAAATTGGAGTTGGGAAGACTTCTAGAGGAAGCTCTCATCCTCTACCACTAGTCAGTTATCCCAAACAGGAAGAGAGATGCCTTGCATCTCCAACTGGAAAATGTCACTACTTTACTACCCTCCCAGGATGAAGGAAAATGTTCTTCTGCCCAGCAACAAGCCCAACCAATGGAAAACGCTGCAGCTCAGCCAATGAAAAGCCATTATCACCCTGAACTCTTACTTTCCTCCAATGAACTTTCATTCTTCCTTTGCCACTGACTTTCTTGCCCAACCCTCCTTTCTATAACAGCCTTCCATTTTGTAGAACTCCTTGGAGTATCTCTGCTTGATGAGATACTGCTTGATTCATGAATCACTTAATAAAGCCAATTTAGGGGCGCCTGGGTGGCTCAGTCGTTGGGCGACTGCCTTCGGCTCAGGTCGTGATCCCGGGGTCCTGGGATCGAGCCCCGCATCGGGCTCCCTGCTCTGCGGGAAGCCTGCTTCTCCCTCTCCCACTCCCCCTGCTTGTGTTCCCTCTCTCGCTGTCTCTCTCTGTCAAATAAATAAAATCTTTATTAAAAAAATAAATAAATAAAATAAAGCCAATTTAATCTTCAGATTTATTTTTTGTTTTTTTCTTTAACAGGAGAAACCACGAAGAAAGGACAAAGGGCAGGAATAATTGCAATAGGTGGTTATCCCAATATTCAGAAGAGGGGGAGCATGAAGGAAGCCTTGTTAACACTTTTAGGTACATCCTTGTAGAAATTTTTAATGTATGTAGATATATATTGCACATTTGATGTAAATACCAAAATACATCATTTTAGGAAAATCTACACAAGACCACTCTTTTAAAAAAAAAAAAAAAGATTTCTGCTAGGGGCACCTGGGTGGCTCAGTTGGTTAAGCATCTAACTCTTGATTTCGGCTCAGGTCATTATCTCAGGGTCGTGAGATTGAGCCCTGTGTTGGGGGCTCTGTACTGGGCATGCCACATGTCCGGAAAGCAGCAGAGTTAACTGCTTGTCAGATCAGGTGATTTATCTTTCCCAGTATATTAAGCAGACTTTCTTATCCAAAGTCTATATTTTGTCAAGGTTGTAAGCATGGGAGATCATCTCAGAGTGCTGAGCAAGCATCACACTCCAAACGTAGGGGCTTTGTTGTAGCAACTTCACTTGTAGGTCATCTGGGTGTCCTCCTGAAACAAGTTGTCTCTCTTGGCTTTTGCAGGTCTTAACTGCCTAATATCAATGTTAAGAACTCAGCCATGTCATTAAGTACCCATCTATTGTACTATAGCACAACTAAAAGTTTTGAGTGGCCTTCCATATCTATCAAGGTTCACAAAGAGAGGAACAGTACCACCAGGTAATGTGTATATATAATTTGTTACAGGGATTTGATACAGTACTCCCCACTGACTTTCCTGGGATGAAATATTTCATCATTCAAAAACTGTATTACAGTACTTGCTTTTTAAAGAGTTGAAAAGCACCTCATGGGGTGCCTGGGTGGCTCATCAGTTAAGCGTCTGCTTTTGGTTCAGGTTGTGATCCCAGGGTCCTGGGTTGGGGCTCCCTGCTCAGTGGGGAGTCTGCTTCTCCCTCTGCCCCTGCCCCTGCTCATGCTCTCTCTCACACACTCTCAGATAAAAAAAAAAATCTTTTTTTTTTTTTAAGATTTTATTTATTTGACAGAGAGAGAGATAGCAAGAGCAGGAACACAAGCAAGGGGAGTGGGAGAGGGAGGAGCAGGCTTCCCGCGGAGCAGGGAACCCGATGCGGGGCTTGATTCCAGGACCCTGGGATCATGACCTGAGCAGAAGGCAGACATTTAACAACTGAGCCACCCAGGCGCCCCCTCAAATAAAAAAAATCTTAAAAAAAGAAAAATAAAGAGTTGAAAAGCACCTCAGAGCACTGGTTTATCTGTAATGTTTTGTCCCCAAACAATGAAATAGTCAATATATCAAAATGTCAACATCTCTTACATTTATAGTATCTGTAATTTTCTGCACATTTTAAATATTCCATTTTTTTTTTAAATGGAAGTTACTGTGGGCGCCTGGGTGGCTCAGTTGGTTAAGCGACTGCCTTCGGCTCAGGTCATGATCCTGGAGTCCCGGGATCGAGTCCCACATCGGGCTCCCTGCTCTGCGGGGAGTCTGCTTCTCCCTCTGACCCTCTTCCCTCTTGTGCTCTCTACCTCTCATTCTCTCTCTCTCAAATAAATAAATAAAATCTTTAAAAAAAAAAAAATGGAAGTTACTGAGAGAGAAAAAGAGGCAGAGAAGAGCTGCAAGCTGCCCTGCATCTGGCGCATCTTTTTTTCTTTCCACTCTTTATTGAGATATAATTGACATCTTATGGTCAATCTTGATGTACATCCTGATCCAAATGAAGTTTTCTGACTCCCCTGAGCCCCACAGAAATGAAGGCATCTAACTGTACATAGTTTTGTTTATAAGCATCTTTCATACATAGTTTATAATCAAGCTAAAAGCTTAGAACTCAAGAGTGAAAACAGAGAGAACTTAGCTCACTAGTGTCCAAGCCAAGGCTTTTTTCTTGCTTGCCCTGATGAGGAAATGGTCAAAGGGATTGCCCAGTATCACCCAGTTCACCTGCAGTCTTTTGCTAGGCAAAAAAAAACAATTTAAGCAAGTAACTATTAAGCTCAGAGAGGTGCCATAATTCCTCTTTCACTTTTTAATGCAAAGTGCTGTTTGAAATAACTGCAAAGTAATCCCTGAAAGAACTGAATCCAAGGGTCCAGCCTCCTGGGGTGATGACTTACTTCTTGAAGCATTCATGCTGCTTCAAAGGTGCATTTTTCTTTTATTGGGGCGCCTGGGTGGCTTGGATGGTTAAGCATCTGCCTTCAGCTCAGGTCATGATCCCAGGGTCCTGGGATTGAGCCCCGCGTCAGGCTCCCTGCTCAGCGGGGAGCCTGCTTCTCCCCCTCCCTCTGCTTCTCCCCCTGCTCATGTTCTCTCTCTGTATCTCTGTGTCTCGAATGAATAAATTAAAAAAAACTTTTAAAAAAAAGCTGCATTTTTCCTTTAATGACGTAAAATTGTCGTATAACATATTCATGTCAGGTGTATCACATAATTCAATATTTGCATATACTACAAAGTGATCACAAGTCTAGTTACCATCTGACACCATACAACTGACCTCCTTCTCAAAGGTCTATTTTTCTGTATTGGTCAAGGGAATTCTCCAGATGAGGTTGTGACTGCTGAACCAGCCTTCATCCCCCCTGGGTTATCTCATCCCTCTGCCTACTAGAGCACCTGGCCTCAAGGAGAAACATTACATTTGGACAGGCTCTATGCTGCTGCTGGACTGTTCAGTTTGCTTTTTTACTTCATTCTTTCCTTCTCTCAACAAGAAAGGAAGCCAGAAAAGGGGCTTGTGAGCCAGCCTGGAAGATCTCTCTCTTTTGGGTTCAAGAGTGCAGCACTTAAGAGTGAGTGCATACCATAGAACCAGAGTGCTTCAGTGCGCCAACATTTATACCTGCCATCTACAGGTGTTCGTGACTCTGCACCTCAGTTCCCTTCCACTAAGTGGTGATGGTAGTAACATCTACTGCTGGATCTATGATGTTAAATGAAATTGAGTATTCAGAACCAGTACAAACCACAGTGAAGGTAAACTATTGTTATCCTCATTACTATCTGACAGGATACTATGGCTTTGAATAAAAAAGCCTTCTCTGACCCTCGGGGATCCTGCCTACCCATTGGCACTCTCCTGGGGAAGGGGGGAGCAAAGCTTAATGGGTAAAGTGTTCTTTCAAGGAGTATTAACTGGAAAATTTTAATAGACTCCAGAGAATAACAAACTTCTGTACCATTTGTTATGGATGAGTGGCTTCCACAGAGGAGCTCATTTTTGAAACTTAAAAATAGTTGTTGAAAGGTATTAAATTTGTGATAATCTATTTACATAAACAATGGGGAATAAAAAGGCAGGTCAGTCTCTTTGAGAGGATACATCTTGGGATGATCTTCACTTGTGAATTGTTTTTATTTATTTTTTTAAGATTTTTAAAATTTATTTGACAGAGAGAGACACAGCGAGAGACGGAACACAAGCAGGGGGAGTGGGAGAGGGAGAAGCAGGCTTCCTGCTGAGCAGGGAGCCCAACGAGGGGCTCCATCCCAGAACTCCTGGATCATGCATGACCTGAGCTGAAGGCAGACGCTTAACAACTGAGCCACCCAGGTGCCCCGGCTGAGTCTCTCTTAATGGACTACATGAACATATCCTCTTGGACCTGGCTTCACAGTGTCTTAATTCTGAAGCACTATTTTTTTGGTATAATTTTAATATTTCCCTCATATTGGATGCTTGCATTTTTCTCTCCAGATCCAGACTTTTCTACAGTGTGAGCTGTGATGGAGTCATTGTGGAGTTTCTGATTTTATCCTATAAAAATTTTTGCTTAATTTTGCTTAATTTTCACTTCGTACATTTTCACCTCCTCTGAAAGCTCTTGCTTTTACTTTTCCCATTTTTCTTTCCTGGAATCAGGTTCTTCTGACAAACTGCTCTTTCCTCTACTATTGTCATCCACTCATAATCTGCCATATATTCCTTAATATAACCAGTGATTTTGAAATAATTTGCTCTGCTAAACCTGTGATGAATGTCTTGATCTCTTCCTCTGAAAAGAGTATCCAAAAATTAAAATGGTAATAAATTACTAACCCCATAACACATCAAGAAAATCTCCACTGGGTAGCCATTTCCACCCACCCTGTAGTCTCAGGTGTTCTGTGACTGAAAATCTTGCATTGTCCTGGGTCTTTTGGGTCACCTTCAGAGACTGGGGTCTTAGCCCAACTGATAATCATGGGAGCCATCTCAGTAAACCTGTTAATCCTTCCCTAAATCCTGCAATCGGAGCCGCCTTTATCTGTCTCGTGTTTTCGGTTCCTATTTCTTCCTCGGCAGGAAATAACTCATTTTCTTTTCACGCTGGTCTTCAATCCGGGAGTCCTTTGAGCTCACTGTTTTGGGAGGGACTCTCCTAGTCAGGACATTCAGGAGCTCAATACTGCTGCTTATCAAACACGCCCCTCCCTTCCCCCCGCCCAAGAAGGGCTCGCCCTGATCCCGCCGCTCCAGTCCCAACACCGCCCGCTTCCACAGGCCCCAGTCCTGCCCGGCGCCCTGCCGACCAATCCCTGGCTCCGCTCCATGCGCGTCACAATGGCGCCCTCGCGGCCCCGCCCCCGTACGCCCGCCGCGGAGGCCCCGCCCCGCCGCGCTCTCTGCGTCCTTCCGGCTCCGTGGTGGAAGTAGCCCTTCGCCGCGTCTTCCTGGAGAAGGTGGGGTTCCGCGGGGACACCGGCCGGCGGTCACGGCGGCAGCCGGAAGTGGGGCGGGGGTGCGGGCTCCCGGGGCTGTTGCTTCTGGGTGCTGGGGTGCAGGGCCGAGCGGGAATCGGGCAAACCCAGAACAGCGGGGCTGCGGTAAACGCCGCGTGCGCCCGACGGGCGGGAGTTGTGCACTCGGGCCTGCCGCGCGCCAGACCCCGCCTCTCGGAGGCCCCGCCTAGGGCGCGCTGCCAGGGGTTTCCATGGTGATGGTAAACAAGCCTCAACTGCCTCAGCTACAACTGCCAAGTTCCCCGCGTTCCACCCTCCTCTAGGTGCTCAGAGAGACGATCGAGGTGCCGGATGTGAAGAGCGGGAGCGTGGAGACTCGGAGCCCGAGGTGAGGGGCGGGACGGGCGGCGGGTCCGAGGCCGAGGGCCGCACAACTGGAACCGACGAGAACTGGGTCCTTGGGTGTGGGGACAGTGGGACTGAGATTTGGAGTCGGGGGAGGCTAGGTCTGAAATCACGGGCCTCACACACGGGAACCGAATGAGGACTGGGCACATAGGGGCTGGGGACGGCGGGGCTGAGAGTTGGGGTCGGGAGAGGTAGGATCTGAGGTCAAAGGCCGATTACTGGGGTACAGACTGGGGACTGAGTTCACTGAGGCCAGGGGTGGCGGGGCTGAGAATTGGGGTCGGGGGAGGTGGGGTCAGAGGTCAACGGCCTTACACTCAGGGACTGGACCACGGGCTGAGATTTTGGGTGCGGGGAGGCAGGCCTGAGATAAGGGCCATACACTCAAGAACTGGACCGCTGGGCTGAGATTTAGGGCTGGGGGAGGTAGGGCCCGCGGCGAGGAAGGGAGGAAAGGCCTGATGCGGACTCCACGGGTAGCAGAGCTTGAGCGCCCCTGCCAGGAATAGCGTGAGGGCACCTGGCGACCGTGGGAGAGGGGCTTCATTTAAAAATGAAAGCACTTTCACGTGGTTGAGTTGCACCCGACTGGTTGGGAACTGACTCCTCCCCCCTCCCACGTTCCCGCTCGCTGAGCCTCCACTCTCGGTCTTTGCGGCCTTTTCTTCCTCTTCGTGCGGCGTGCGTGTCCTGAGCGCCAGTCTGCGTTTTGTCTCCTGCTTTTAGAGGTATAGTGTCTGCGTTTTGGGTAGAAACTCTGGTTCTCGTGATCTTTGCCTGGTGGCTAGACTTTTGCCGAGCGAGCTTAATCGGCCGTTTATTTTTCCATGTCTTTTATTTCTTTGTGTCCTTGAACGTATTTTTTGATTTTTGACTGCGCCTAAGAAACTTCTGGAGACTGCCGGCGCTCGCGCTGCGCCCTCTACCTTCAGCGTTCCCGCGTGGTTCACTGAAAGTGGCGCTGGGCGGCCTGGTGACGCCGAGCGAGTTTCGGGGCCTCGACCGACCCTGGTCTTTTATAGACCTGGTTGGGAGGCCACAGGCCCCTCCCCGTTGATTTGTACCTTTAAGGAGCTCTCAGGTTCTTGCCAGACAAATCCCCAGACCCGGGAGAGCCCCCTCCCCAGCTCCTGCAGGACCTCCCCCCACACCCGCCCCTGCCCGGCGTCCCGTGGGTCCCGGCCCGCTAGTCCGCTGGAAGCTTTTCGCAGTAGTTTATTTCCCCGAGGCCCTAGGACGAAGGAACGTGCTTCCTTCTCTCGTTCTCACAACTATTGGGGGGGCCTCCGGGCTCCTATCTGCCACTGCGGGCCGCGTGCGTGGCGGGAGAGGAGTCCGCGAGCGGCTGCGCGCTGGGGGAGGGGGGGGAACCGCCGGGTGGGGCCCGGGGGGGGGCAGCGCCTCAGGTATCCAGAACCTGGTGGAGCTGGAAGAGTTTTGAAGACTTCAGATACCCTTTCAACTCAAAACATCGTCGAAATTACCTATCTTAATGTAGTTCTATTACTTTTAGTCACGTTTTTAAAAGGTTAACTATTTGTTTCTGAATTCCCGGTAAGAATGAAAATACCTCGGGTTCTCCGGTTAGACAAAAAATATATGTCAGTGAAAAGTGATGTTTTCGGTATTAATTTCTAGACACGATCCTGCATTTTAAAATAAGTTGAGTAAATTTCTACTTTTAATGAATTTTGGGAGAGATTGCTGATGTTACTAGTTAGTAATGTTTAAGCAAGCCCATCTTCAGTCATCTCCTGTGCCCATATGCATTTTGTAAATTGATTAGGCTTATTCTGTATTACGATCTCCTTTTTATTTTTAGTTTTTTTGTTTTAACATTCTTTTTATGATATTTGCTTTTTTTTGGATTTTTTTTAATTGGCAAGTGACTGGTTTTCCTTTAAGTTTATTGCTACAAAGCTCTCAGTAAACATAAAATAATTCAAGTAAAAATGTGAATTGATTTGAGTGAAAAGACTGATTTAATAGGTTAGTCCTCAGATATGGCCAAAACTGAAGGAAGATTGTGGAGACATATGGTGCCCATCCAGGTTAAGTGCCTCCAGGGGCTGCAAAAATGGGAACGGGTCTCCTGAATCTGAGCTTTGGCTCTCAGACTTTTTGTAGAAGCACATTAATTGACCCTTAACTGGATCCAGCCACAGAGCTAGGAGTTTGATAGTATTTTTAAGTCACATGCTCATGACCAGTCTGTAAGGGGGTGGGGGGTATTGGCGTTATCCTTGTTGTACAGATGAGAAAATGGAGGCCCAGGGGAAAATGAAGTCACTTGCCCAGGGAGGAAATAGGACTCAGGTCTGTCTGACAGGGACAGCCCTCCTCTGCCAGGGACCCTGCTCCCATCTTACTGCCCGAATTGGAGTTCTTGTGGAAAACAAGAGGCAGATCAGAGGGAGAATCCGGCTCATCTAAGGCCAAGTCTGGCTTATTTGACAGCAAATCCCGGACATAATAAGGTTTTTATCCATAAATATTTTAGCTTATATTCTGCAGATTTTTTTGAAAAAATACAACAACAGTACCATTATCACACCTGAAGAAATAATTCCTTGAGATCATCAAATACCCCACGTTCAAATACACCTGCCTGTATAATCCAATAATATTTTTTTTTATAGCTGGTTTGAATTGGAATCCAAACAAGGTCACACCTTATATTTGGTAGATAATCTCTCTCTCAGATTCTGTTAATCAGAGCAGCACTGTCCAATGGAAATATAATGCAAGCCATATATGTAATTTCATATTTTTTAATAAAAAGAAACATGTTCATTCTAATAATAATTTAGTTTAACATATGTTCAAAATATATCGTGTAATTTTTAATTTTTTTTTTCAAATTAAGTTTTCCACAAAATCCATTTATATTTACAGCACATCTCAATTTGTACCAGCCACATTTTAAGTGTGGACAAGTAACTACCTTATTAGTGCAATCTGGAGGTCCTCTTTTCTTTATTGAATAAATTGGGTTGAGTGTCACGTACAGAGTTCCTTCCTCAGGCTTTGGGTTCTGATTACGTTCAGTGTTGGTGTCTCAATCTCTGACCTCTGCATTTCCTGTAAAATGGTAGTTACCTCTAAAGGCTGTTCTGGTTCCGCTGAGATTATCTTTTTGGAAAGAATACTTCATTGGAAGTGCTGTCTACTCCTGCTGAGGCACTTACTTGTGTTCCCCCTTTGTGATTTTAGCGGCCACTGATGGTCTTTCCCTAAATCCATTGTTTTGTTAATATTTCCAAATTAGTGACACTTTAAATATTCATTAGTGACGCTTTAAATATTCCTTCTCATTTATTAGTAGGAATACTTCTAGAGAGAGGAAACTTTGTTAATCAT